AACGCTTTTGTGATGTCCCTGGCTCAGGATTTGATCTTCCAAGAGGCAGAGAGTGCGCAGGTCGCTTCGAGGGTATTGGGAATTGCAGTGCTCGTAATCTCAGACGTTGGGCACTAAATGCTTCTGACATTCATAGTCTCTTAAGCAGTTGTGTATCTTAATACCAGAAACAGCTCACTGTATAAAAAAAATCTGAATGCTTTGTCCATTTTCAGTAAGGACAAAAGGAATGATTCCACAATTACCTGTGCAGACACCAAGAAAGCAAGTATCCTCCTCATTCGCAAGATTTATGTTCTGATGCAAAACCTGAGTCCATTACCAAATGATGTTTGCCTGACTATGAAGCTGTTTTATTACGATGAAGGTAGTATTTCTGTATTTCCTTGCTTATCCACTGTGTTCAGACATTGGGAAACAATTCAAAGGAATATTTTAATATGTAATCTTTACGGTTGCTGGGACTTGTTAAATGATGTTGCTTTGCCTGTTTCTCATGACAATTTCTAGAATCTAGGAGGGGATTTGATCTCACTGTAGGAACACAATCTTGTCACTGACTTCATTGGAGCAAGGATTTCAGAGTGTTTTAAAAACCAGTGGAGTTTTCCCGAGTATGCTAGGATGTAACATGTTTGCCAGACTAGTTCTAGGTTGGATGACTGTAAATGGCTGACGCTAGCTCTGCCTTCAGAATGTATTCTTGCTTTGTGATGAAGAATCAGAGCTTCTAGCTCATCTCTTTGCATATATAAACTGTTTCAAAAAGCTTAAATTGGTTTTGCCTGTTGCGTAGGGGGAAAAGAACTTCATTTAGCACAAGCTGAGTATTGATTATTCTCCTCCCCACACACACAATTTTTTTTTTTTAGTAGCTCTTTGTATTTAAAGGGAAAAGGAGTCTTTTAGCTGCACAAGTGAACATTAGTTTTACCAGAACGTGTTTCATTCTGACACCATTAATTCTTTTCTGCAGTTACACCATCTGACTACCAGCCCCCTGGTTTTAAGGAGGGCGAATGTGAGGGGATGATATTTGAGGGGGAGCCTCTGTCTCTTAATGTGGGTGAAGTGCCAACGCCTTTTCATATGCTGAAAGTTAAAGTTACAACTGAAAAACAACGAATGGAAAATGTTGATAAAAGCATCCTAAAGCACGGAGAGACTAATGTGCCCCTGCAGGTGCTCAGAGTGGACAGAGATGATCCAGAAGAGGAGAGCCAGGACATGAATGTAAGAGGGCAAATGTTTTGTTGAATTTTTTTGGTGATCTATAGTCTAGAAAAGGGCCATTAATTGTTTTACTGTATGTCTTCCTATAACATTAATGAAAAAACCCTCTGTTTTCACATGTATTTAAGCAAGACACTATGTCTTCAATACATTTTTGCTTTGATTTTACTGCTCCAGTTAGCAACCTCTCATTGTTAAAGCAAGCGTTGAACAAGTGCGTCAGCCTAATAATGCGTGTCAGCAGCAGCGTAGTCACCTCTGCGAGGCTGGAGGGGAGCAGAGGGGCAGCTCCGCAGTGCGGGTGCCGTTTGTTCAGGCCCAGTGGCAGGATGCGGGTGAAGCCTCCCCAGAGCTGTCCCGTTCCTGTCCCAGGCGAGCTGCTGCAGCCAGACAGCGCTGCTGGGCAATAAATTTGGTACAGCAGTACACATAGAGCTGGTGAAGCCACAGCGAAAGTTAAAGCAAGCTTGATTCTGTATTGGGATTTTCCCCCCGGGGAAATCTGCCTAGAAGAAAGCACAAAGCAAAAGGTGCTGAAGGCACGAGTGCGTCACGGACTTGTGCATCCTGCTGCTGGTGCTGAGCGCCTGAGACTGCTCTCGGGACTGCGCTTGTGCAGGCTTTGGCACTTGGAGGCGTCTAGTTCTGGGGTAAGTTGAGGCAGGCAGCAAATACCTTCAGTTGTGTTCGAATGTGCAAATATGTGCACTGAGCGACACTGGCTGCCGGTGCGAAGGAGGTGGAGCTTGAAGGCTTCTGGCCCCTCCCCCTCAGTTGGCGTTGGTGACGAGATGAACCGCTTGGCCCTCTCAGTCTGCATATGCCTCTGGATTGCTGTTTCGCAGGCAATGGGAAGGCGGTAGTTGATGCACTGAAGGATTCTTTCAATATCTATTGTTACAATTTTAGTATTTTGGTCAGATGTTGGCAGTTGCACGTGTGCTTGCGTTAATAATTAACGCTGAGCTAGCCTGTACGTTCCGGGGCAGAGTCAATTATTTCAATAGAGAATCCATCTAATAAGCCCTGGCCCTAAGCATCTGAGCACAAACCCTCCTCCTTACTTGTCTGCAGTAAGTGATAGAGCTTTTTCTTAATCTAGGAAGATCCTGTCCCGGATAATAAAGTGGAAGATGGGAATAATGCAAACATTTCAGAAGCTCAAGGTAACAGTTATGTATATTTTCCAAGTCTCCTCACTTTCTGCCTCTTTTCCCTGATGTTACTAGAACAAAAACTCAATTTTCTGACGTAGACCACTATATTCAAATCTACATTCTGTTTCCTTCACATACATCGCTATGCCTTTATTTTCT